GGCCAACCATACATATAAACCCTAGGTTAGACCCAGATTAATGTCAAAACCCAAATTTTCCCACCCAAGTATATGGGGGTGAACCAAATCTTTTTTTTTTATATAAAAGTCTAAATCCATGGGCTATCAGGTTTTTCTCTCTTTTTTTTTAATAATTAAATGTAGATTTGTTTCATGAATTATTCTAATTCAATAATAAAATGCAATAAGAAAGCATCTAATGCGAGCCTTTAATTAAATTAAGAACTAAAACTAGCCAGAGAAGCTACCAATTAAGCCACCATATGTTGGTTTTTATGCTAAATAATTGATCTATGTACTTCATATATATATATATATAAAGAAATAATCCAAATGATTAAATTGATAATATAGGTTAATCTAGTGGAAGGTATGGTGGAGCACGATGTTGCAATCCTGCATCAAGGGAAAATCGATTTAAAAATTCTCGGAAATGTAAATCAAACACCCCTATCAAATGACTATCGGTACTGTAACAAAGGAAAAATGACAAATTGTTGGAAATGTAACAATTCTAAGCTACCAGGCTGGATCTTGAAGTAGTAGAATATTAGAAAATGTCAAATCACTCTCTTGGAATTGATTTAATTTGTAAAACGTGTTATGCATACTCACATGAGAGTCGAGACAATGACACGACCAGTCGCCTGTCGCCGTGAACTGGGTCGGACTGCTCTGCATTGCATTCACATTAATTTTACAAGGCAACAATGTTGTAGACAGACAGACTTCGTCAATTCTTTTACCGAGAAATACATAAAATTAGCAGCAGCAGCAGCACGAAAGTGAATTCACTGTAGCTTTTTGGACCCATTTGTTTGAATGAAATTTGGTCAGAGTGAGAGAGAAAGATCTAGAGGACCACTGAGCAATTCTTGCTAGTGCTTTTCAGGTGTGGCATGGTGGGGTGTGTGTATAAACCCCTCTGCAGGCTGCTTCTAATGTGACCACAAAGTGAAGTCGTAGAGAATTGCGCAAAAAGAAGAGTGTACGCAATTCAATATAATCGAGCTTTTATTTTGGATTTGGATGTCAGCTCATTTGATGATCAGCTCTAGCTCTGTGGACCATATCAACCTGAGTTCACATTTGCGCTCCACAATGCCCAACAACATATTCCCATATTGTATTGGGAACATCTCTCGTTGGTATTTACTGTTTCATCATCTTCCGTATTTGTTTCAACTCGCTTGGGCTGTCATCATTAAAACTTTAAAACTTTTGATGCCACCACCTGAAATGAAAAGCACTAGCAAGGTACCAAACCAACCGCCTGGCACTCTATCCCTCCATCCGATGACACCCGATCACCCACCAATAAAATACATTCTAACCTTCTACCAACATTTTCTCACACCCCACATTTCACACATGGTAGGCTTCACTTTTATAATGGGTCCTAGTCTCAAGTTAAGATGTGCGGTTTGAGATGATGTTGGTAGAGGGTTGGAATTTATTTTGTTGGCAGAAAATACCAATTCTGATCTAATGGGAGAAATGACAAGTTTATGCCTGAAGAAATTAAAACAACCAGCGGAATGCCCACAGCCTGAGTTTCATTTCCCCAATCCAAAATTTTTAGTAGGTGTTTAGTATGGGTGCTGGGATAATTTCATCATTTTCTGAGAAAACTCATATTGGACATATAGAATTATAAGTATCATTTTCTGAGAAAACGATGCTTATTTTTTATTTGGAATGCATTCTTCTGCCACAGACTATTTTACCAGAAAATAATAATGATTTTATTTGGTACTAATGTATTGACAGCAGTGTTTTTAACATGATTATATTATCCAACATCCAAGATGATAATACCATATTAATGTTACATCATTGCATCACTGACAATTGATGTCACATGCCAATCAAAGTTCAGTTCACTAAAGCTTTTGACGCCTTTTTCTCTGTTTTCTCCTCTGTCTCATATTTACTATCTAGTGAGAGATGAAATGAGAGGATAAGGTTCGCAAGACTGTAAATGGGTGGCGTCTTGGTTTGTGGGTTTCTGTTTCATTCAAGATATTTTGCCTTAAACGGTGCAATACAGACTACAGAGAGAAGTAGGGAAGGGATTTTTCCCCCTTCTATCACAAAATTAAATCACATTGTTTGGTGGGGCTGTTAGGCTGGAACCTGCATTACTATTGCATGCTGTGGTAGACACCCATCGGCCATGGATCTCCCTGTCGTTTGATTTCTTCGTTAGTCAATAGCCATGTCGCATATACGAAACAAAATCTTGACAGGTGGCTACCAATTCTAGTGCCTTTTTCTTATTATCACATGTCTGAAAAAGGCCCCTGACTTGACTGTTCTTAAAGTATGGTATCCGCATTATACACCATTGGGTTCAGACTTCAGACATGGTGCTGAGTGCAGAGTCATGAATCCATCTCACGAATCACGATGATTATGTAGACCTTAATTATTGGTGAAGAGAAAAATTAAAGACGTTCTGAGACCTTTGGCTACTGCAAAAGGTATAATCAAATGGAAAAGTTGCAAGTTCCAACGAAAGGCCAGTTCTTGTAGCAAGGACTAAGGACTAGGAGAGGTCTTACAAGTTACAAATTACAATCAATCTAGAACTGGAATGCAAATTCTGTGTGAGAACTGAGAGCAATATATGAACACGAGAACATATATCTTCATAAAATGTGTTCCGACTGATGAACAAATATGGTCGATAATATAATCATACTGCCCCCCAAATCCAAACAGAAATGACAATACAATTCCAAGTTAATGGAACAAAATGATAGACCCCAACAAGGAGGGAATAATAGAAAAGTTTTCAACAAGGAACACAGCCCGCCATTAATGATGCCTTAATAGATGGAGCATGATAAAATGGAAAAATGCCCTGGCCTACTTTGAGGTGGTGGTGAGTGTTGGTGTCTTGGTTCATGGAATTATTGCTTCTTTTGGGAAGGGAATTTTCTAACAAAGACCCATTTCTGGTTTCTTGCCCTGTATAATATGTTCATAAATCTATTTGCTAGTCTGGTTATTTAAATCATTAAATGGCAACTTGGTTTAGGGCTTAAAAGGAGTGTCCCCATCTTCCTAATCTTATCATTTATTTATGAAAATCATTTCAACTAAAATTTTTTTGTCAAGCACGAATACAATAAAAGTCTCTTTTATTATTAGAAGGTTGAAATCATGGATGACTATAATTGATCGGGAGAAAACTCCACTACATGGTTGGTATATGGCTGACGCGGATTGTGGATTTTGGATTATGACCGATCCAGTGGGTCCCCTATCTGATACATGGCCCAAACGGACACAAAATTTATCCAAATGGCAGAATATTAGTGGAGCAGAGTAGGGAGAAATCCCTTATTTGACCCAATCAGAGAACCCTTTTTAATCTAACATCTACAAGTGGATACGAAAATGGGCTTGGATATGATTTTTCTGATGTGGCAGTTATTTTTTGTTTTAAAAAACAAAATCACACATATTGACGAACACCCCCTTAATTACCTTCCTCTTCTGGGATGTATTCATTCCCTTGGAAGGAGAGGAGAATCTTGGGCCTGGGAACAAAGGGCTAGTGTTAACATTATCTGGATCAGGACCCATCACTCACTCAACCTGATGAAAGGAGTCAACCCACTAGAGAAATTAGCATGGTGAAAGTAATTGTATCGATCATGTAATACGTGCTAGTAATCGAGGCATCATCTTATAGCAGCTATCGAGTAATTAACTTTGCAACCTGGGTTGGGTAAACCCAGCCCAGCCCAATCTTTTGGATGGTTTCGGATTTCCTGTTATTTCGTATTGGATGGCTTTTTTTAGGGGTGGGGGGGGGGGTTCTTTTGAAGGGCTACACAACGAGGGTAGCCCACCCCCCAACCCAGGTGCAAGCAGGATTTGATCCCAAATCCTGGCTATGATGAGCAGGAGACCTTACCAACCAGCTGGTTGCCACCTTGATTAAACTAAGTTTGGGTGGGCCCAATCCGAAACTATTTCATTGTCTGAGACCAAACGAGGTTTTTGTATGGGTGGATCTTCCATTTTAGACTTGCAGAATTGGCCTGGGCCAGGAAATATGCTTGTTTTATATACTTGCCCACTCACTCAAGTAGAAAGAACACATATATAATCCAATCTTCCCAGGCCCAATCATACATAACTATATAAGGAATGAGCAGATGGCAGTTGTTTTTGTTTTCAAAAACAAAATCAACCATCATGTTGTCGAACACCCTCATAATCTGGTAGGCATATTTGCTACCAAAATTAAGAAAACTCTCAAAATTAACCAACCCGCTGAGATAGAGTGCGGATTTGGTAGGCATATTTGCTAAAGATAACCCAACGCAGGTAGTTGTTTTCCTACTCCTGGTATCATTCTTCACCAACCCAAGTCCCATATTCTTGTCTTTCTGTAGGAGAAATGAACGGATTGGCTCTAAGACCAATTCAGCTTGGCCAAGTTAGAACCAGGGAATTGAACCTGTAAATCTCTATTTCTTTACAAAATTAAAAAAAGAAAAAAAAAAACACATAGTATACTCGCTAATAAGGAAGAGGGTGAATTTATTGACTCTCCCTGGTTCCCCCCCAACGGTGGTATCAGAACTAATGATATGCACACAATGGCTCCCATGGCTCTATCTATTCCCCATGGTTGAGTGATTAGTGAAAGCAGCTGGTGAGTGGTTTGCGTGAGCAGTTGATAAGCGGATATTAGATAGGTGTGTGGTTGATAATTCCCATGGCCAGATCCCTCAATGGTTAAATTAAATGGTGATAATTCTTCATTGGAAGCTGGCAATCGGATGCTGGTTTCCTATGGGCAAAGGGCTCTTGATTGATGTGTTGTTGGGGGTGTATGTGTCCTTACAATGGAAAGAGAGTTCCAAAGCAAACAACCAATCAGCAATTTCTTTGTATCCCGCCCCACGATGGAACCATGTCTAATTTTTGTTTCCCGTTTCTTTTTTTTTTTTTTCATAAGCAAATTAGGAATTTGATGTAATGACATCAAATACATCATCATATCTGGTTATGTTCTTAACGAACAACAGTGGTCTGTCACTCTGTCTGTATAGCTTCTCCAAAACATGGAGGGGAGATTAAAGTACAACGTGGTATGCATTGAAGTTTGACAATCTATATTGCTAATCCTTATCCCAAGTCCCTAACTCCCAAGTCCCAAGCGATGTTGTACCAAGTCCGACTTGCACCTTGATATTTATCTTGGCATACAGAAAAAACTTTTGGCCCAAATCCAACGAGTCTCCACCAAGCGGGATGCAGCAAAACCACTCAACCTTTGCCCAATAGAAAATTCCAATCTTTCTTCTTTCTGGTAAACCAGCAGACAGCAGTACAGTACTATCCATCGGACCACGTACAAGTTCTGCACATGAAAGTTGAAACACCGTCGGGAGGCCAAGTGGGTGACAGAGGACAGCATCACACATCTCTCTCGTTAAGCATTCATACATACATGCCGTGTTTAGCTCATCAACACCGCAGGAAGTAATAAATGATGTGTGCTTGCTTCTCCACGATCCTTGGTAAGATACCTACAAATCAAAGGGGAGTAGGGACCCACCTAATAAACAGAACCCACAATTAATCAAGAAAAAGAAGGAATACGTAAGCATATAAGAAGAAGAAAAATCCAATGGTAGTTAACCCACCTCAGCTATTATGCTACTCATTGCTCATGTTTAGTGAACCATCCTTCATCAACTTTACACTAAGGCTATTAAACCTTCCTCGAGAATAATGGCGAGAAGCTTTTCTCCAGTCTGTTCCAGTTTTCATCATTGCTGCAAACTCATCGTAGCTGATCTTTCCATCCTGCATTTTATGACTATCATAGTGATAGTATGATAATAGTAAGCTACTAAGAGATTCAACACTCAAAGAGCGTGGATTCTGACCTTGTCGGTGTCTACTTCTTGGAAGATGTCATTTGCTACATCTGCATAGTCCGCAGCTCCATCTTCCATCAAGGCGTCCTGGAGCTCCTCTTGTTCAATATAACCATTTCCATTCTTGTCAAAGTAGGAAAAGGCTTTACGAAGATGTTCATCATTCGCCATTCTCAGTAGATGGAGGGACACTGCAACAAATTCTCCGTAGTCAAGTGTACCTTTCCCATTGGTATCTACCTATTTCCAACAAACCTTCTTCCATCAGAATCAGAATGTTCCTTGCTAGCATTTCTCTGAGTAGTGCTAGACCAAAAACCAAGTTATGATCCTTAGGACTGCCCTAACACTCTCTAAAACCAACCAACCAATTCAAAGCATGTTTCTGTTTCTTAATATGGAAATCGGAAAACCATTAATGAGCAAAACCACAGCTCAATGGAATAATCATAACATGGATCTGTAAACAAATTTTGTAGTACTTCACTGGTTCACTGTATCTCCAGCTCTATAGAAGGATTTGATGGTCAAATGGTCAAGGTTAAATAGTTAATTAGCTCCTGGCTTGGATTTAATTACAATAAGCTGCATGTCTGCACTTTTTATTGGTATGTCAACTGGTAATTGTCATGGAAGAGTGTTAGTGATCAAGAAACAGCATGTAAAAAAATAAGGACATAAGCTAAGCCAAGGACGATGAGATGGATGAGTGGCAAGACTAGAAAAAGACAGAATTAATTAGAAACAAGTCAATTAAGGAGGATTTGGTAGCCCCAATTGGTAACAAGATGAGGAAAAGTAGATCAAGATGGTTTGGTCATGTGAATAGATAAATGAATGGCTGCACACTTGCACTAGTGAGGAGTAATTTGGTTCAAGAAGGGTTTAAAAGAGAAAGAAAATAAAATGTTGGCTTAAGCCATAATAATCTAAGGACTTACAATTTGACAAAAATCATTGCTCTTGATAGAGCATAAAGCTGAGTTGGGTTTTTTTTTTTTGTTAATGGTTAAGAGGAAGATATAGTACATTTCACAAATAAAGTTGAATCATGTAACAACTGTCCTGCAATATTACTGCAGATGCAACCATATTCCCTTCAGTGAAGTGTTGGAAGATTATTTAACATTTTCTAATTTCTAATAAAATGCAAAATCCATAGGGGAAACACCCTGTCATAGTTTATGAGATTTGTCCCCGCACAGTTCAATTTATAGAATTTATAGAAGCATCTAAAGATTCAAAATATCCTCTAAAAACAAGAATTAAGACAAAAGACTAACATCCTATTGAAAAACTTTATTCGTGAGATGTAATATATCTTCCTCTTAATCATCCAAATAGAAGCAGAAGACACAATATTCTCAATAATTCAGGTCAATATACAAACAAAAGTAAGGTTTACCATTTACACATCATCTAATAAGAGCTTTTTCCGATGCATAGCCTGGACTGTAACAAAGTTCAATTAAATAGGTGAAAAGGCATGAAGCTCCCCATCCATGATGGGTTTCAAAATTGTAATTCATTCCTTGGTAGAATATTGCAAGTTAGACTTACTGATAGCTGCTTACAACTTCACTTTAAGAATAGAAGAGAAAAACAATTAAGCAAATAAAGAACAAAAAAAATAAACCACATAAAACAGGTAAATTGAAAGGTACGATAAAGAAGCTTTAAGTTTAGAATTGGGCTACAGGGTTAATAAGCACTTACAGCTTCAATAAGCATCTGCACTTCAGACTCTGCCAGCTGGGAGCCAATCTTTGGAAGTCCAGTTTTCAGTTCCTCAATTGAAACAATACCATCATTATCAGTGTCCATCTTCTTAAACATTTCTTTGATGTCTTCAACTTCTTCAATGGATAAATGATCAGCAATAACCTATTTGAAAGCCCATTTTAGTAATAAATTCTTGAACAAATTACAGTATCAAAGAAACAGAAAATAAATAGGGTAGCACTACAGGTCAACCAACCCTTAATGCTTTCCTCTTGAATCTGTTCATCATAGAAAACTGCTTCAGCCTTGACTTGACAACATCTCCAAGAGGAACATTTGGAGCTTTTTTAGCATTTTGGAGCCAAGGATGTTCTGTAAGGGAGGAAGAATATAGGCATCAGATCCTAATTGTCTAGTGTTCAATAATTCATCTAAATGTCAGAAAGTCTGATCATCATACTAAGCAGAATGATAGCCCAAGTGCAAGCTGTAAGTTATTTATGCTGATTCAATAAGCAGAATGATAATCTTGTGGGTAGTATTCATGAAATCAACTGGCTCAGCAAAACAGAACCAGGAAGAATATAATAACAAAAACAATCAACTGCAAGTATATTCAAATCAACAGTACTCTTGTAAGTCCATAACAAAATAATAATGGCACAAGTAAGAGTAATACTATCAGATTAAAACTGCTCTTGGTAGAAATTAAACCCAAGTCTATGCTGTCACCACTCAGATATCAATACAGATTTCTGCATGTGTTCTCTTCGAAGGATGTACATTTCTTTAGAAAGTCTATATAACACCCTACCAGTAAAGTAGCACCTATGCCTAGAGCTGGATCACTTGTTGACATGAGGATTCTGAAATGGACATAGAGCTTGCCTTCTATTTGGGCAAGACAGTTTTAGGCACGGAACCTATGGCCTGGTCGCCTGGGGCATCATAACCCATGAGAAATATGCCCCAGATGTTTTCCAAATAACCATATCAGTACATGTAAGTTTGTAAGGAGTGTGCCTTAAGTGTAGCTTTTCAAGAAGTTGATTTGCATTATTACATGTTCAACATGTACAGTAGCACAAAAGAAGTAGGAAAATACCAAGCACTTGCTTTGCAGTCAAGCGAAGTTTTGGGTCAGGCTCCAACATCTGTCGAATCAAATTCTTTGCACTCTCTGAAACATTTGGCCATGGATCCCGCTTAAAATCAATAAGACCACGAAGAATGGCTTGTGCAACCCCTTGCTCAGACTCTGCATTTTATAAGAGAGCATATCAACTTGTAGAAAAAGATCTAAATATTAAGCTCAAAATACAATTAAAGACAGAAAGATAATATAAAAGAGCAGTATTGCATAGACATCAACATCAGTCAGATCCCAACATGTGTCCAAGAGTTTGACTGGGCAAGACAAGAAAACGTGGATTTACGACATGTCTATGGAAATGCAAATACTATTAAAATTGTTAATATTTTTTGAATTTAACATTATATACCTACAAAAAGGGGTCTAAATGTTGCTTTTGTTACCAAGTAATGTTTTAAATAAAAATAGCATTCATCTTGTACATTAGCTGTCTGTTTATGTCAAATATAGAAGATAAAAAGGAAATGCTACATAAAAGACTGAAGTGTCCAACAATCTCTGAAGTAGTGTAAGAATCCAACATGTGTCCAACACAGACACGTTGTCCATTAACACAACACTGCAAAAATGTTAAAATAAAATTATCTGACAGCTACAAATTCTACATAGTCTGGTGCATGAAATAGAAAAGGCAGCAGTTTGAAGATGAGGAAAAAAGATTAGTTTCCACCAGGGAAGAGCCTTACCAGCCCAAAATGGAGGAACTCCACAAAGTAAGATGTAAAGAATGACTCCTGCACTCCATATATCTATCTCCGGTCCATAATTCCGCTTGAGAACTTCTGGAGCCATATAATATGGACTTCCAACAATTTCAGAGAACCTTTGACCTATATTTGAAAATATAAGCATTATGCATTGATATCTCTGTGTCTAGTAAAAAATAAATAGAAGAACTAATGATGACAGCACAATAGGATTCAAACTTAGATTAACAACTTTTTTGGTAAAATATTAACAGACTTAGTGAACATGAAGTGGGCACAGAATACAGATTTACTAAAATTAAAATCAATGCTCAAAAGTTAATTGTTGAAGGGTTAAAGAAGGCTAAGGAGTATTCAAAAGTTAATTGCTGAAGGGGACTCAAAATTGGTTATAGGATGGTTGCAAAAGGAGAATAGTGGTCTATGGAAGTTTACTAATGAAAAAAGGGAGCTCGAATGGTTAACTCAAGGTATAGAGGTTCAGCTTCAATGGGCGAAGAGAAGTGTCAATTCCTTTCGGTACTCTTGCTAAACAAGGGTGGGAAGGGAACAAATGTTTTGGGCTGTGTTGTAAGTTGTTTTTTGTTTTCTTCTTGGAGAGGGTTAAGAGATTTTACCTCTCCCCTTAGCTTCCTTTGTAATTGTCTCTTTATTTTTTTAATAAAAGGTTCTGTTATTGATAAAAAAAATCATGGTTATCTTTCTTCAAGGTTTTAATTTCCTGCAGTATCATATGCTAAATCAAGCCCTCATCTTTTCTTTTTCCATCGTTAAAAGACCATTAGACTGAGGTACTCAAGGTTTTAAACTTGAGTTAGTTTTCTTTCTTCAATTTTAGGATGTTTACAACTTTGACCAGGATGAAACTCGATGTGAAAACCAAGACTAAAAACCTTAAACATGATTTACCAAACAGACACAATTATATACCTAGTTGTTCAGAAGTATCCAGCTTATCCAACATTAGAAAAAAGAAACAAAAATAAAGGAAAAAAAGAAGCAATACAGTACTTTTCACCATTTCAAAAATATTAAAAAAAGAAAGGGAGAAGTCACAAGACCCTATTATTACTGCTCTTTTGTTTATAAGTAAAAACACATTAAATCAGTAAGGATAAGCAACTGTTACAAGCTTTTCAGAGGGAGACATGAGGTGCAGCCTCACTCTCAAAGAAAAAACAGTGCAAGAATTACAAATGAGCCCAAAACAACTGATTCCTAATTACCCCTTGCTTAGTTAGCTAAGGAATCAGCCAAAGCATTAGCTTCCCTCCCCACCCATTGTATAATCAAACTCACCTGTTGTGTTAACCATCTGAACTTCATTTCATCTCGACAACACCATATCACTGAATCCAAATCTTTTAGCCAGCCCACCACCACCTTGAAATCCCCTCCACTCACTAGGTTCTCCAAGTAAATTTCCTTTGCAATCTGAATACCTTGTAGAACTGCATACAGTTCAGCCTTTACAGAGTCTCCATTCCCCAGTCCCCACCGATCCTGAACAAAGTGCTAACATATTCCCTTCCTTATCTCTTATGACCCCTCCAATTCCAGAAGGACTTGGGTTGCCTTGACTGCTCTTTGTATCTTTCTCTTTATCTTTTCAACAAAATTCCCTTGTGTTGCTGATGATGAAAGGATAACTTTTCCATTCTAACCATTTGAATCAAAGATAATCAAATTTGAACTAAATAGATGAGATAAAGTTCCTCACCAACTTTGCATGATTTTCTTTATTTTCATTTTATCAATGCTTTATTTGATGGTACCATGTACCACATAGGAGATCTCATCTTGTTATTCATTCTTCTTCACTGATAACAAGGAGTACATATGAAGAAAAGATTGTTATGTGAAGAAACATACCAAAAGATTGGAAAAGTGCATGCTATGAATTGTATTTCTGAACCGCATACGGTGTGGGAATGGTATGATCCAGGACTAGAGAACTGAAGAATAACTGCTTCTTTGGTGGTGTAAGGCTAATTTATGGGCTTAGGAGAAGATTTAGGATAGGTTTTAGGGATATTAGAGGAGTATGATACGATATGGAAGGATTCCTGGTTAAAACTCAGCAAACAGAGAATTCTCCCTAAGCTGGAGGGGAGTTTAAAAACTCAAAATAAATATGTAGAAGGGGAATTTCTAAATCAAATTCTGTTAGAAGGATTTATATTGGAGATACATGGGGGAAGCCAAGTTTAGTAGGGCTGTAAGTAGCTTTTTCACAAAATAATCAAAAAAATCTTGTCTTTTGATTGGTTAGTGATGGAAAAAATCTTATTGATGAAGAAAACCCAGAGGATGTTCTAGAAACTAGGGTTCTAGGCAAATATGGGTGGCAGCAGGATTGGAGTTGATTTTCACTAACTTTAGGGTAAGGTGAATTAGAAAGAGTTTTCTCTCTTTCTAGAGAAAGTGGAGAAAGGCTAGGTTTTGAGAAACAAGATGATTACCAGGAATCAATCCTAGCCCACTAATGAAGTTGTCCCTAGTCTTTGATGGCTGATTAGTGGTTGTTGAAGAATTCTTGAACAAGAATCTAAGAAGGAAAGGGAGAAGAGAGTGAATCAGTCTAACGGAACCTAATATCACTCTAGGATTTATGGGGAATTGAGGATCATTCACCATACTTGTGGGAGGCTACATAACTCAATATCACTATAGACTGTTGGTGCCCAATCCAGTCCTCAGTGATAGAAAACCTCAAGGAATAACAAACCAGTGAGCAAAATTCAGATGGATAAAGAAAGAACAAAGCAAGAATTTATCCTCTATTACAGTTACATGGTTGAATGCACAACCCTATGAACAGAACAATGAACATTCGTGTAAGAGACATGAAAAAAAAAAAATCAAATAGAGAAAAAGCATTCCTGCAAGATAGATTTTACCGGATGCAACAAGAAGATTTGTATATTTTGTTTCCTTGTGGATCCTAGGGGAAAAATAAAAAAGGAGAGTTCTAAACCTTCCAATATTTCTGCGCTCCAGCTATTCTGATCATGAATTAAAGGGATATGAAATCAAGATCCTATGAAATAACTAGCAATTGAGTAAAAGGTACTACTACGGTTGTGACTAGTCTCATGCAACTGTAATCTTACAAATGCCAATGAAGCAATTAATGGAAGAAAACGAGGTAAAAAGAAGATCAATATATTAGGAATTCAAATCTTAGTTTCATTTGGCATTGAGGTATGAATACATATCCAAAATATAAGAGAAATATACAGATGGAGACGTGCATAGTGTTCAAATCATCACCTGGCTTGAAGAATATAGACAAGCCGAAATCAATAGCTTTCAGAGGTGAATTCTCCTTCTTGTTTGCAAAGAGGAAGTTCTCAGGCTTTAAGTCCCTATGGATCACCCCATGCTTGTGACACAGTTGAACAACCTCCACAATAGTTCGAGTAACCGCAGCAGCTGCCCGCTCAGTATAGTGACCACGAGCCACGATCCGGTCAAATAACTCCCCTCCTTCACACAACTCCATTACCAAATGAACCGCATTGTCATCCTCACACGCCTCTTTCAATCTCACAATACTCGAATTCTTGGGCAAATGCTTCATAATCGCCACTTCTCGCCTCACATCCTCAATATCCACCGCCGTCCGAAGCTTCCTCTTGGAGATGGATTTACAGGCTAAAAGCTCTTTGGTATTGCGATCAATACATAGGTACGTCACACCGAACTCTCCTCTTCCCAATTCCCTGTCCACCAAGTACTTCTCCTCTATCCTCTCCTTGGAAACGTCATTCAAGACAGTGATCGTCTTCTTACCGCCAGCTCCAGTGTCACTACCACCTCTATCTTTTCGGCCATGATCATGTGTGGAGACGTCCTCTCTTGCGACAGCAGCGGGTGATCTGCAGCAGTTTCCCATCCAATCGCTCCAAGAGACCAGAACTCTGGAGAACAAAAGCCCTCAAACCCTAGCTAGGGTTTCAGATTATGGTGAAGATACCCTACTACCATAGCCCTAACCTTCAAGAGTGAGTGAGTGGAGAAGTACTGACTGTAAGAGTGGAAGTTCAGACGAGGTTCGAAGACGAAAGAATGTGAGTAATTCATAAATAGAGCTTCTTCAATTAGTGATGCGTACGGTAACGGATCAGCTGGTACGTTCTTTTTTTTGTTATATTTTGAAATTTTCTTTCTTTATTTTTTCCTCCATTACGTCAATACTTAATAGGCAATATCTAATTAATTAAATAATGTTTCATGATTTGGTTTGTCCAATTAGCTTTCTATGTTCTCTCGCTCTCCGTGGAAGGTGGAAGGTGGAAGGCGGAAGGCAACTCAGTTTTGCTGGTTGTAGTCTTGTAGTGCAGTTCACGTTTATTCTCTTTTCTGCTTTTAATAACAAACAACAAACTTGAAAACACAATAACACATCAAAAGAAAAAGCTATTGAGGGGGAGAAAAGTTAAAATAATAAACAAAGGCTCCCCTTCTTTCAACCAAAAAAGAAGAATAGAAACATTTTCATACTGATAATTGATCCATATTTTGACCCTTTTTTTACAAAAACAAAATAAAAAATTATAATTTACCTCAAAACAAATAAGTAAAAAAAAGGTTAAAATAACAACTGAAATGTTTCAATATTTTAACCTGAAAACTCTTTTAGACTATGTTTGGTTTAATAGAAGAAAAGGAAAAATAAAAATGGAGGGAAAGTACTTAAACAAACAACAGAGCTTTAGTACTTTTTTAAAAGTAAACAAATGCAGCGAAAAACAAAGAATATGCTTTTTAGCTTCCCCTTTTAGTAGCCCTGTTGCACAAATAATTTGGTTTGAACATATACTTTCTTTTCTGGGTAATATTTTATTTTGAATCTACGCTTGAAAGGAAGTGGGTCATAACTCAACATTCCCACCTAACACTCATTTAACTGTTTACCTTCATTTCTGCTGACCGCACCTGTAAGGAAACTAAATAATAGAAATACATAAAAGTAGATTATTATTTTATATTTTAATTTTTTTAATAATCAATAATTATTTATATTTTATATATTATTTTTACTAATTTTTGCAATACAAAAATAATAATATTTTTGTTTTTACTATTTTACTTTCTCTTATTTTTGTTCAGATTTGGTTCAGCAATTTTCTAATTCGATCATGTCAAGTAAGTTTCAGTTTAGTTATTTGTAAACCTATCAAAATTGAATCGACTTGATCATAGATATATATTAATATTTTATATTTTAAATATAACTTTTTAATACAGAAAAGTAGGAAAATTCCCATGTTTCTTAATCTAAAATATTTTATATTTTAAATTTATTTTTTAATAATATCCTTATTTTAAAGTTTACATTTTTTTAACCAACCAACCAAACCGATACCAGTGTTTTTAACCCATTGTTGACCCAATCAGTTGAACCCTTCAAACCATCACCCAGCCTTAATTCCATATCCTATTCTATTGAAACCTGCCCTTTCGGTCAAAACCACATGATCCATATGGTTTAATTGTTAACCCATTCGACCTGATCACCTGGCCACTGGGTGAGATGGGATCTAATTTCACATGCATGCAATTTATCATAAAAAGAAAGGGTATGTCAGATAACTTTGTTGCATGCTTACAATTGGAAAATGAAAATCTATCTGGGTGCCTATTGTTGGAAAATGGGGTCATTGTAACTTTAGAGGAGAAGCTCTGAGACGCGTCTGAAGACACTGTCTTTAGAACGTTATTTGCCCCCACTCAGTTTCAATGAGTTTGCTGTTGGGTTACAGGCAAATCCGTTCCCAGGATACAATAGAGCCTTGGGCGAGAATCCGCAACCAGCAAAGTTGAAGAATCTCCGAAAAAACCTTTTGTGAGACTGTAGCAGACCAGACTGAGAGAGAGAGAGAGAGAAAGTGGATTTCAAAAATGTGTGTTTTTTAAGTCTGATTCATGCTCCTTAAATAGTTTATGAAGAGGTATGAAGAAAAGGTAGGTGCTAGTTTAGAGAAGGCACCTTGAACAGTCACAATTTCAAACATTGCGATTGTTTAAAAAGTAGTTAACAGTTAATGACTATTAACTTTGAATTGTTTCTCTTGATCACACCCAATTGAATCGTGACCGTTGAAAACCAAAGCCGCCCTTCACGAGCCACGCGGGTCCATGCCTAAAGCACCTCATTGCGTTGCACACACGCGTGCGCGCGCATTGCACAATATCAAACCCCCATACTCTCCTCTACTATTTCTAAGGAGTGTAAATCAACTCCTATTAAAATACTGAAAATAAAGCTTATAATTTTTCAATGTGGGACAAGCTCAAAATTGGGTTTTGTAAGAGAAATGTTAATTTTCAATCAAGTGTGCAGGTGTAATTTCTCATGTAATTGACCAATCAAACACATTGGATTTAATCTCTTATGAGATTAAAATCCAACAATCCCTCACATTGATTGATCAATTACATAGTTCTCTCTCAATCCAAACTATTATAATACAGTTATGCATACAAAAGGTGTTTATCAACTTAAACATTTTGTTAGTATAGATATCTCAGAGCCTTGTCAAAGTTATTGGTGGTAAGACCTTAAACCAATTACTCTCAAGGCAGACCAGAGACACCCATACACACAAAAATGTCCAGTCTCTGCAAGAGTTTCAAGTTTTGCTCAGCACTGTTATGGCCATGTGTTTTTTTTCCTAGTTTCATGAACAATGCCAAGATCAAACCCAAATTCTCCACTATTTGTTCTGTTATTTGACACATTTTAGAATTTCATTAGGAGTTTAACTCAACCTCTCATCATAACGGACAACACTGTTTATGTTGTGATGGGAAATTTCTTAATGTCAGTGTTAACAGTTACATTGTTGTAACTTGTTACCCATTAATCTCAACACTGATGGTTTTTCAGTTCAAATTGGATTACCATTATAGGTGACTAAGTAAAAGGTTTTAATCCCATCTCTTTGGTTGTTATTCTTACCAATTCTTTGGCCAAGCCCTTGGTAAGAGGATCAACCAAGTTTTTACTTGACCTCATATATGTTATAGTGATGACTCCATCTTGAATCAATTGCCTAATAAATTCATGTCTTAGACTTGTATGCTGGACTTACCATTGTAGGTACCATTGTAGGCTCTTGATAGAGTTGCCTCACTATCACAGTAAATAGAAATTGGAGGCATAGGACTAGGCCAAAGTTTTATATCCAATAATAAATTTCTAATTCATTCAATCTCTTTTCCAGCAGTCACTAAAACTATGAATTTGGATTCCATGGTCGAGTGAGATATACAAGTTTGTCTCTTGGATGCCCAAGAGATCACACCTCCACTAAGGACGAAAATCCATCTAAAGGTGGACTTGTTATCTCCATTACCGGTAATCCAACTTGCATCATTGTACCCTTCTAGTACAGCTAGATAATCACAGTAAAACAAGTCAAGTTCCAAGGTTCTCTTAAGAGATACCCAAGAATTCTCCCAATTGCCTTCTAGTGCTATGCACCATGATTACTTGTAAACCGACTGAATTTACTTATTACAAATGCAATATCAGGTCTAGTACAAAGCATAACATACATCAAACTTTCTATTGCACTAACATACTCAAGTTGTGCAATTGCTCTACTAGTATTTTCTACTAGCTTTATACTATAATCATATGGTGTGCTATATTCTTTAAACCCTAAAAGTTTAAATTTCTCAAATACTTTCTCAATATAATATGATTGGCTTAATGCATAACCCCTATTGTGCTTTTTAACTTTTATTCCCAATATAGTATCTACTTCTCCATATTGGCGTTCAACAAACATACTTCTCTTAACTCTGAGTCCTAACTTGGTTCTTCTAGGATCTGGAACTCTATAATATGCTAAGCACCTCCACACTTTTAGATATGCTAAATTAGGCTTTCTTCATGTCCATAATTCATATGGCATTTGTTATTAACTCTAAAAACAATTCCATTATGTAAATGATAGGCTGTTAGGAGTACTTCCCCCCACAGGTTTAATGGTGCATTAGCTTTTAATAACATGCAGTTTATCATTTTTGTAAGTGTTTTATTTTTCCTTTCGGTCAGACCATTCTGTTGAGGAGTATAGGGAGCAGAACACTGATGTATTATTCCAAGTTCTTCACAGAAAGAATTAAACTCATTTTTAAAGTATTCAGCACCCCTATCACTTCTAAGAATTTTAATTTTCTTTTCTAGTTGATTTTCAACTTCAATCTTGTACAGTTTAAATATGTCAAAGGCTTCATCCTTAGTTCTCATAAGGTAGACATAGGTGTACTTAAAAAAGTCATCTATAAATGTTATGAAATATCTCTTACCTCATCTAGTTAATACACCATTGAGTTCACATTTGCCAGAATGAATTAGTTTTAGAAGTTGAAAATTTCTCTCAACACTAGGGAAATGTTTATTAGTCATTTTAAATTTTACACATCTCACATTTTTCAGTTGATTCATTACTGTAAACAATTATACCAAGTTTGCTCATGTTCTTTATGGATTTAAAATTCAAGTGTGTTAATCTATCATGCCATAAAGAGAAATAATCAACAATATAAGCAGAAACTTTTCCTTCATTAATACTTAATTTGAATATACCATTACAACCATATACCTTTCCAACAAACATCCCATTCTTGGGTAGGATTAGTTTGTCGGATTCAAAGACAACTTTGAATTCTCTCTTACAGACAAGATTTACTGAGACCAAGTTTTTTCTAATGTTAGGAACATGAAGAACATTCAGGAGAGTTAATGTCTTTCCGAAGGTGAAGTTCAACTCTACGCTGCCTCTTCCAGCAACTTTGGCACATGTTTGGTTTTCTATCTGTACCTCCTGGCCATCAGTCACTTCTTCATATGTCTTGAACAAGGACTTGTCCTTGCAAACATGGATTGTTGCGCCTGAATCAAACCACCATCCAGTAGACGATTCTGCCATGTTGATTTCAGTAATCATGGCCACTAGATTGTCTTCTACCATGTTTGTAGACTTGGTTCCGCCTTTCCGATGTCGGCAGACTCAGGCATAATGCCCTTTCTTTCCACAAACATAGCATGATCCTTTCTTATTGTTGCTCTTCTTGAATTTCTCATCATTCTTCTTTACTTGTAATGCATGGTTAGTCTTTTTTGATCC